TCAATTTTAATGGCGTCCTTTTTTCCTTTATATTTTTTATTTATTCAAATATTTATCATTTTACGTCAATTGCTTAGTGAGATTTGAAATGCTTTTGCAGTTACTGTAAACGAAGTGGAGGCATTGTATGAGCTGTTCAAGAAGTTAAGTAGTTCCATCATTGATGATGGATTGATTCATAAAGTATGGTTACTTTTTTACTTGATTACTTCTAATGAAGCATTTATTTTGGAAAAACAGTTATTGTTTTCTAAGATATATAGTGCTAGTGTCTTATCCACAGATTCTGAAGTTATTGATACAGTTTCGTCTAGACTGTATATTGCTTAACCGAATATTAATTTTAACTTTTTTTTTTTCACATGAAGGAAGAGCTTCAGCTAGCACTGTTTAGAACTCCTTGTCGTGAAAATCTTTTCTTGGACAGGGTAATCAGTCTTACATCTCTAGTTATTTTGATATTTTGTTACACTGAGATGGTAAATTTTTTAAATGGAAGACGAGATTCAGAATGTGAATTTTCTTTCCCATTTTTTCCATTACTGTATAAAATTTTCCCCTTTTGTTACCCTATCAGGTGTTTGATCTTTTTGATGAGAAAAGAAATGGAGTTATTGAGTTTGAAGAATTTATCCATGCACTGAACATATTCCATCCTTATGCTCCATTGGAAGAGAAAATAGATTGTAAGAGATCACATGTGTTCTTTATGGTGTAAATTTTTTACATTTTCTCACCTATGATATGATTGTTAGGACTCAGACTGTTGGGAACCACAAATTTTCATTTCGGTTGAAATAGTTGAAGCTTACATTGCACACTGCCTTTCTCATATGTATTTCCTTCATTGCAGTTGTGTTCAAGCTTTACGATCTGCGACAAACTGGGTTCATAGAGCGTGAGGAAGTAAGTGCTCATTTAGGCGACTTCATTCTTATACAGATACAAATTAACTATTGACAAAAGTAGCCTCTTACAATAAACATTAATCACAATTGATTTATGCATAGTAGTTCTTTTCTATAGGCATTTTTTCTTCCTTTTCAGGGGATAATCATATGCAAAAGCACATTTTCACACCTGTTTTGTCTAAATGCTTTGTCCTTTATGTTTATAATGTAATTTAGGACCTTAGGTATCCTTTCTTGTCTATAACTTATCTTCTATATTGCCTTTGTCCCTGTTTGTTCATTGTGCTACATTTCGGAGTCAGATTGTCAAGCAAAGTTTGTCGACCTTGTAGCATTTACGTTATTGAAATAAACTGTCACTTTCTCTTTCCTCTTTTTTTTTTTTT